ACAACCGAACCAGCATAAGTGGACCGTCCAAACTGCCTACCAAGTATTATCTTTTGCTTTGTTCTCACAAATCAAGTTAATATCACGTTTTTGTTACGGCGCAGGTAGAGAGAGTCTTTCATAGGTGACAGAGGTGAAAGGAGAAATGTGATACAATGAGGAAAGCCTGGACAACCGAACCAGCATAAGTGGACCGTCCAAACTGCAGACCAAGTATTATATTTTGCCTTTTTCACAAATCAAGTTGGTTGCTCGTTCTTGGTACGGCGCAGGTAGAGTGAGTCCTTCATAGGTGACAGAGTTGAAAGGAGAAATGTAATACAATGAAGAAAGCCCGGACAACCGAACCAGCATAAGTGGACCGTCCAAACTGCAGACCAAGTATTATATTTTGCCTTTTTCACAAATCAAGTTGGTTGCTCGTTTTTGGTACGGCGCAAGTAGAGTGAGTCTTTCATAGGTGACAGAGGTGAAAGGAGCAATGTAATACAATGAGGAAAGCTCGGACAACTGAACCAGCAGTAAAGTGGACTGTCCATTGCACCGACCAAGTATTATCTTTTGCCTTTTTCTCAAAAATCAAGTTGGTTGCTCGTTTTTGGTACGGCGCAGGTAGAGTGAGTCCTTCATAGGTGACAGAGTGGAAAGGAGAAATGTGATACAATGAGGAAAGCTCGGACAACTGAACCAGCAGAAAAGTGGAGCGTCTAATTCCCCGACCAAGTATTATCTTTTGCTTTGTTCTCACAAATCAAGTTGGTTGCTCGTTCTTGGTACGGCGCAGGTAGAGTGAGTCCTTCATAGGTGACAGAGTGGAAAGGAGAAATGTGATACAATGAGGAAAGCTCGGACAACTGAACCAGCAGAAAAGTGGAGCGTCTAATTCCCCGACCAAGTATTATCTTTTGCTTTGTTCTCACAAATCAAGTTGGTTGCTCGTTCTTGGTACGGCGCAGGTAGAGTGAGTCCTTCATAGGTGACAGAGTGGAAAGGAGAAATGTGATACAATGAGGAAAGCTCGGACAACTGAACCAGCAGAAAAGTGGAGCGTCTAATTCCCCGACCAAGTATTATCTTTTGCTTTGTTCTCACAAATCAAGTTGGTTGCTCGTTCTTGGTACGGCGCAGGTAGAGTGAGTCCTTCATAGGTGACAGAGTGGAAAGGAGAAATGTGATACAATGAGGAAAGCTCGGACAACTGAACCAGCAGAAAAGTGGAGCGTCTAATTCCCCGACCAAGTATTATCTTTTGCTTTGTTCTCACAAATCAAGTTGGTTGCTCGTTCTTGGTACGGCGCAGGTAGAGTGAGTCCTTCATAGGTGACAGAGTGGAAAGGAGAAATGTGATACAATGAGGAAAGCTCGGACAACTGAACCAGCAGAAAAGTGGAGCGTCTAATTCCCCGACCAAGTATTATCTTTTGCTTTGTTCTCACAAATCAAGTTGGTTGCTCGTTCTTGGTACGGCGCAGGTAGAGTGAGTCCTTCATAGGTGACAGAGTGGAAAGGAGAAATGTGATACAATGAGGAAAGCTCGGACAACTGAACCAGCAGAAAAGTGGAGCGTCTAATTCCCCGACCAAGTATTATCTTTTGCTTTGTTCTCACAAATCAAGTTGGTTGCTCGTTCTTGGTACGGCGCAGGTAGAGTGAGTCCTTCATAGGTGACAGAGTGGAAAGGAGAAATGTGATACAATGAGGAAAGCTCGGACAACTGAACCAGCAGAAAAGTGGAGCGTCTAATTCCCCGACCAAGTATTATCTTTTGCTTTGTTCTCACAAATCAAGTTGGTTGCTCGTTCTTGGTACGGCGCAGGTAGAGTGAGTCCTTCATAGGTGACAGAGTGGAAAGGAGAAATGTGATACAATGAGGAAAGCTCGGACAACTGAACCAGCAGAAAAGTGGAGCGTCTAATTCCCCGACCAAGTATTATCTTTTGCTTTGTTCTCACAAATCAAGTTGGTTGCTCGTTCTTGGTACGGCGCAGGTAGAGTGAGTCCTTCATAGGTGACAGAGTGGAAAGGAGAAATGTGATACAATGAGGAAAGCTCGGACAACTGAACCAGCAGAAAAGTGGAGCGTCTAATTCCCCGACCAAGTATTATCTTTTGCTTTGTTCTCACAAATCAAGTTGGTTGCTCGTTCTTGGTACGGCGCAGGTAGAGTGAGTCCTTCATAGGTGACAGAGGTGAAAGGAGAAATGTAATACAGTGTGGCGCGATGAATGTGTATAACCATCTTTCGACTGCAAACATGATGCTGAGAACCTCCATACGTGATGAGCGAAAACTCTTTTGATCAGAAAAGTAGATAGAATCACAACTCGGACAACTTAACCAGCAGAAAAGTGGACTGTCCAAACTGCTTACCAAGTATCAACTTTTTCATATTACGGTCATTTCTTCTGTTTCGGTTCGAAATGTCAATATTTTTCAAGCATACCTGGGTGACCGTATAACTGTCGTAAGTTTTGGATCAATTTTGCATTGTTCACAATTGGAATTAGTTCATCCCAAGTGCGTGGCACTGTTAGATTGCAGAGTTCTCTGAATTCTGTATACCTGCAGTATTATTATCAAAGATATTCGAAAAAGACATTCTTACGATGGTAAACCATGATCTCGGCCTCTTTGAATATTCATCACAGCCAAATCAAGAGATGCCTGAATTTTTCATTGTAAAAGCGGAAATGAAGAGATTACCTGATGATATTTCAAGAATAATTTCTCTGTCAGTTCCATGTTCATTATTTCTGTGTTTTTGGGTTCCTTCATAGGAGAAGCAAACAATCCTCGCAGAAGTGGATCGATGCCGCCTTCGTATAAAATGACACCAGGGGCGAAAAATGACTGTAGAGATGAATATTCCTGTTTCAATGATAAAAATAATACTTTATGTAGCGGTAGATGACCCTCTCGGACTTCTCGGAAGTTTTTGTCTAACCGTAACAGGATCGGATTGATCAGAGTGTGGCCAAATCTGAGAACAAGACTATAGGACATGAGTGGATATTTACCTGAATGCCGCTGTAGCAAAAGCATTTGAGATTCCTGCATGGATATTCGGATTGTATCGAAGTGATCGAAACTTCTCCATTGTTTTCTGTATGTCATGAGCTTTTTTAATCTTTCTGTTACTGACTCACTGATCCAAGAACAATCGGGAGCCATTCGTTATAGGTGATGTGTTGAATCATAGCTCCTACTATCTTACGCGTTTCTTGGTAAATCGTATCACCGTCCCAATGCTTGTTGATTCTTTTCAGCTTTCGAGCTATTCTATTGTGTTCTCGTAAGAAGATGGTGTGCATTACTGCCAAAGCTTGCTCAAATTAATCTTTGAGCTTCATGGGAGGTGTAAATGAACCTGTTCATTTGCTCTAAAATCTCCAGACAAGAAGCAGCGAGTAGGATTTTGTTCGCTGAAGTTTCTTCTGCAATCCATAGCGGAATCTCTTTCAAACGGCATATACTCCTTATTAAAACTATAAAATTTGATTTATGAATATATCTGAAGGTTGTTGTACTCAGAAATTTTGTCATATCTGAGTAATCCTTCGTTATAGTATCGATCTCTAAGTTCAAGAGCATGCTCCTCTGTACTGCCATATACCATGGATGCATCGATGAAAGAAGTCACCTAGAGTTATATAATTATATCGAAATGTTGAGTTTATGAATTCTCACAACATTCATCTGTTCTCTGTAGGTTACTTTATCGAAAAGCGTTGAAGTCTCTCCAGAACCACATACCGCCGCATTTCTTTCGAATTCCATACAAGGCAGTTGGTCTTTCCTAGAAGATACTGGATAATCGACAGATGTTTTCTCTTCTCGTTTTACGATTTCAATTTGGGATCATTAGGTAGTAGCTGAATGTTGAAACAAGGAGTCACATTGTCACAGGTTTTATTACAAAACGCTCCAGACTTAAAGTTGTGCCGCGACAAAGCTGTGGCCGCAAAAGTGATGTCATGATCTACGACAAAAATAAGTGACACGACATTTCAAAACGAACCTATGAACTGTCCCCACTGCATCACCATCGAAGATAATTGTCTATGAGCAGTTATACGGGGAGAAGCTATAGCTTTTCTCGATACCTAGAACAAGATTGGATTAATAAAAACATTGAATGCGAGGAACATGCTTCTCTAGGATTCGGCTTGGGGAAGCCGTAATATAAGCGGTTCTTTTCCCATCCTACTGGAGTATTGAAGCCGTTTTCGTAAACCGGAGGTAGTAGACGCAAGAAAGGCATCGATGAAACTCCCCACATCGAATGAGCCAAGTTATTGCATTCTCCGTTGTATGATCTATATTTCTTATGGAAACAGCTGTCTGAACAAGAATCCAGTTGGTGTGACCCTCCAATGCATCCAGAAGCGTTCATCAAAGTCTTCAAACGGAGCAGATTGAGCAATTGCGAATGAGTGTGTTACCTGCATGTGAGGAGCCGACAGAAACGATTCATAAGTAATATTAGGAGAAAGCTCATTGATTTGGAGACGAAGACCTTCAAAGGAAAAGAGATCGAATGAAAAGGAAATTGTATTACCTTCTTCTACGTACTCATTAACCAAACGAACAGATTCTTCATAGATTTCACGCGCTCTGTTGATGTCGATCACCTTCGAAGAACGATGTTAAAATACAAACGAAGAACACTATAACCTCTTTAGGAAGTATATGCTGAATATTGCGACGAAGTTCTTCTGGTTTGTGGATTTTCTTCTTTCTGAGATCTTTTGTTTTCTCTATTGCTCTAGAAAGACAATCATGAAATGAGAAACTGTTTGAAACAAGTTCTCACTTGTCTACGTTTGTGATAGCTTTTGCAGCGATTTCACGAATCGCCGAATCAGTCAGCACATTGTCAACCTGAAAAGCAAAACGAATCAGGAATATCATCTGAAAGAGTTACCTGATCAGCAATGCTACCTCTAACTTGAAGACTGGCCGGAGCTGCCATCGTTCCGACAGGGTTATTGGCTCCACATATATAGATTCCTCGATCTGATCGTCGAATGTTTTTGATGGTGAGCTCAGTTGTATCGGGCGAAACCTAAGATAAGAAATTTAAAAAATATAAATCGATGCTATATACATATATCCTTCCTTTTATATTGGCTAGAGGAGCTCCATCGAACATCCATGTATGGATAGGCCTGGGTGTACCTTTGGATATGCATCGGAAAGTCACCTGTCCATTAGCTGTATAAGAATGGTATTCTCCATAACAGTACCTGTGCCCCAATATCCGCAATCTGATCCTGTGGTCCATCGGTAATGTATGGACCGACACTGAAATGAACAAGCCGAAGATGTTAGTGATGAATTAGGGAAAAAGAATCTGATTTGAATGCATTTTATTGAATCTTTTCACGAATCATAATTTATACAAGAGTTCATTTTTAATTATTAAAAATAAATAAAATTTTATATTAATTGCCATTTTACCTATCTATGAGACCGATTTTCATTTCTCTTTCTATCCTTCCATAGACATTCGCTGCTACACACTTATATCTGAAGAACAGTCAACGTCTAGTTATGCCCACTCATCTTATCACATCTAACTCACGTTCCTTCGTCACTTTCAAAAAATGACAGAATAGAGACGACGGTGTTGTTATGAGTGAACTCTGCACGACTATTTTGATGGAAAGGCTAAAACCATCAGATGGCCTTTCAATCAAAACTAATTCCTTACTCTATTGTTTTTAAACCAGACAACTTCTGGTTGAGGTGATCCAGATACTTCACAATGGAGTTGAACTCGAGCGCCGATTCTTCAAATAAACAATCAACACTTATGACGTGTTACTCAAAAACCTAAATGATCTATCAGAAGTTGCATAGGTAAACTCTGGTCCAAATCCGCGTTGTCTCTTTTTCCTGAGATAGTTGTTATTGAGAATGTTCAAGAGGTCATTCATACCTGCGAGGTACAATGGGTGCATCGTAAGTGCAAAGGATATCCTTTACATCCTGGTGTAACGGCAAAATCAATTGATTGGGTGTTTGAATCTCATAAGTTGATAACTCAGATGAATCCAATTCAATATGTCTGATGACAGAGCGAAGAGTTCTCAGAGAAGTGAATTGAAACATACTTATGCAGCCAAACAACATTATGATTGGAGACGACATCAATTGGACATTCTAAAATCTGCTGTTTTGCAGTAAACAAGCTTGTTGGTATACGACATTCGGTTTTTTGCACCTACAAAATAATTTATTTGTTGAAACGCGAGATAGCAAATCATTAAGTGAACCTCTGATACTATGATTCCGCGTAAGGCAGCAGGGTTGAAACATCGAGGATGATGCTCCGATTGGATTGGTAGTGCTCTGGCTAATAGCCCTACTCTTCAATAGACTTGTGTTATCTTAAGAGAAAACCAATCTGTAACTGACCGACAATCACAATTCCATGGATTTCCACTTAGAATGATAGCTTGAGTTTGTGATAAATCCTAAGAGATTAAATAAACAGAACAAGTCAATGATTGAGATCTACCTGAATGGTTTGAGAATGGAAACTTTGAAGTCGATTGTGGGAAAAATCAACACGGATCAGAAGAGGAAATGATGAGAAAACCTAAACGCAGAAATAAGACGAGATTGAATCGATGACATAACGAACGAAGAACATCATTACATTCAGATGTTCTTCATCAGTAACTATATCGTATAACTTGAACTCACATTAGGATGAATACGCTCCAGATGATTGTGACGCATATCCAACGCCAACAAAGCGGAATGCTTAGATGCTAAAGACGGTAATCGAGCTAAATGATTGTGAGCTAAAATCAATCTCTTAAGATGTGGAACTTCATCTAGAAGGTTCTGAAACACGGAAGACTCTCAGAAAAAAAAGTTCACATATGCACTTTACCTCTTCTACATAGCGGATGTGATTATTGGCTAGTATGAGCAACTCCAAATGAGGCAAGTTCTTCAAGTTTGAAGATAGGACTTTCGATATGTGATTAAGCCTCAAGTTCAAAATTTTAGTAGAGATTGGAAAATCAGTTGGGAAGTGGGTCAGCTCTAAACGGTTTGTCCAGTTAATGTAGCATATTGTATACAAAAGCAACTTACTCAAATCTGAACAATCTACATAAGTTCCATTCTCTTTGCAGCTACATGGATGTGGACAAGCTTCTCCGGTGATTGCTAATGGCAGAAGAAATAGGAGAAACCACCTCATCCTGAATGAGCTAAGATAACCTGATATTTGAGTGAGTCGGAGAGAAATTGCCGCGTAAAATTTTTGATTTGTAATCAGTTGACATCTTTATTTTCGCGATAAACATATTGAATCAGAGAATCAGTTATATAGTTAACATAGTTTGCCAATGAGGAGACAAACTGAGCGTCTAACAAAGAAAAACTACGAGAAAACGATGGAACTATGAGAAGACGAGGGGCTGTACAATCGAAGTGTAACACAGTAAGAATCGATAGATGATTGGAATTAACGATAAATGATAGGCTGAAGGACAAAACATAATGATAATTGAGAGATGACGATGATATGCCAAGAAATACAACGAGAAGCATTCCGAAGAAGCAGGACAACCGCGGCTGAGCCATCACAGACAGTCATTGTCCTCGTGTATGAACGGTTTTTGTGACATGCACGTTTCAAATAAAAAAAATCTAATGATACAAGAAGGGTAAAGTTGTGATGGGTTGGGTGTATATGTGCGTGTGTGTGTATGTGTATGTGTGTGTGTATGGGGTGGGGTAGACTGGGTAAAAGGAAAAGAACCCATGTCTTATATTTTCATTATGTCTTCATTTCTCTTTCTCTCCTTATATTTCAATAAACTTCCTATCTCTAGTTGGGAACACAAATAGTTAGAAATGTCATATTGAGAAGAGGAACAAGAATGAAATGATGTTAATAAGCCATTAAACAGATACGTCTTTTACAGCAAAAGTAGACAGCATAGAAGTAGCCGATGCTATGCATCACGATCTGATAATCAAATAATTGACCGACATTACCAAAACATGCTGGACATATCAGATAAGGTTTACATCAAAGCTCACAAAATATGCCAGCAAATGTGAGAACAACAACTGATTATTAAAATCAAATGTTCAAACACATTCAGATCGCATTAATGACTTTCACGTAAAGGCCACGTGAAACATTTGAACCGTTGTTACAATTTTCATTTCTAGTTTCACACACGCAGAGAGGGGTTGCATTCTTCTAATTCTCTTCGCGCTCAGGGCGGTTGCATTCAACACCTTTTTAAAAAATGTCGCTAAGAAAACAAACGTATGCCATTTTCGATATTTTAAACTAGAAAAACCATACGTACAATCGTTGCTTTAATGTTTAGGGAAGTTCCAAAAACATATCGTACCATCCTTTGAGCAGGAAACCATTTGATCTTTCTTCGTTTCACCACTCTCCATGTTTCCGAACCAACAAAGGCGAGTGATAGTTTCTTTGTGGAAATCCAAAAAAAGTATGACTTGACGTTTCTTAATGGAAAATCCTCTGATAGCACCATCCCAATAACCAGCTAACAATGTCTTCTCCGATGGCAAAAACACCAATGATCCACATCCAGAAGCGCTGAAAAGGCTCTTGACACGATGCATTAATACGGTAATTAAATCTTACTCAGGACGATAATCAAGAGAGATTATGTCTTTATCGTCTAAATCACTCATTCTAAAACATTTAATGGGTGGTAATGTAGAACATGCTGCTATGAGTCCAGACGTTGAGACAGCTAAACCAAAGATGGGTTCTGAATAGAGGCTCTTCTAAACAAAAGGTAGGTTGGTAAGTTATCTGGCTCAGCTGAATGACTTACTTTGCGCATGAAACCATTCTTGCTTATAGTCAAAGTCCCTGCCTCATCTCCCACTAACACAGATGATTCGAACGAGTTCAAACAGAAGGGTGTCGCTTTATTTCCAAGAGGTATACTGAAAAGAAACTTGAGAAATAGTAGTTTTGACTGCCTCTACATGTCAGCATTCCCAGAATCCCACAGTATCCGAACCAAGTTATCAGACTTCTATAACCAAAACTAACGTTTCGACCGCCAAACACACACTTTACCTCAACATCCGGTAAGATAATTGCGTCGGGTATCAATATGAAAGAGCAGAAGCCATAATGATTCACAGGTATCACCCTGCATTCATCCCACTTGCCTTCTTTTCTTGCCAGAACCATAATAGCATAATCTCTGATATGGACTACAGCTTCAAGTACATTCTCATGTAACCTTGCTTGCGCTCCAACAATTGACCTTTTATCGCTGTCTTCTGAACGTTTGTATAAGCGAACTTGAAAAGTCGTCACCACTACCATAAACTGTTTCTTTAAATTGATAAGAGAAAATGTCGCAAAGATGGCATTTCCCTTTCGATGTGCCTACGAGAAGGAACTCTCTGTTATCCATACATACCGTCGAACAGCAGGTGGCATCAACCCCATGATGAACAAACACAGGTGCGTTTTTACTCATGATAAGACTATTTCGTATGAAGTGCGAAGTTGTTGTATATCTCGATAATCAAATGATGTAACACCATTGGATGGTAGAAAACATTGCAATACTAAGTATTTTATAGGGAAATATAACAATATTAACAAAACATCACCAGTAACAAAGAAAGCAACTCGATTATTCTGCTGATAACTTGCGAGAATCTCTTCGCACATCTTTCTGAACACATCATCAATTACACCAAACATGAAGTTTTAAACTTACTTTTGATTTCTCCTTCTCGCGTTCCCTTTCTCTCTGCCTCCTTTCCTCCCGCTCTTTGTCCCTTTCTCGGTCTTTTTCCCGCTCTTCTTTGTCGATTTCCTTCCGATCATCTCTTCCCTTGATCATATCCATCATGAGGGAGCTATACAACATGTTAACTTCTCATTTATGATGATATTTACCTGATGGATTTCTGTTGATGAGTAGATAGAGTTGGTAAGTGCTCTTTCAAACTTCTAAGAGTTTCATTCTTTGTGCCCTGAGCCTTGTGGAACTCAATGTACTCCATGAACTCATCAGTAGAGAAACATGAAAGTATTGGCTAAAATTTCAAATATCAATTGTACATCAACAAAGAGTTCTTACCGTATATGCTACTAGTTTCAAATGGCTTAAGGCGCGGAAAAATGCATACTTAGTATCTTCGCTCTCTTTCCATAACTCTTTACTGATAAGTTTTTGGAGTACGTTGGAAAGGAAACTGTCCAAGGAGGGATACTGTAATGAGTTGTTTCAAAACCAAGTAGTCGAAAGAAGCGGGAACCTTATCAATAACAGCTATAAGAGTTGAGTAGAACAAAACGGGAATCGGCCTAATATCAATAATCTTCTCTACAGCATTAGCTATTGCCTCTTTCGGGAGATATTCAATCAAATCCTTTAAATCTGAAACACACATCGATGACACACCCTAACAACAGTGGACATACTTTCTATTTGAGTTTCTACTTCATTGGAGGTTGAGGGCATTATCAAGTGATATTCATAAACTAACTCGACTCCACTCAAAATAGGTTCACCAGTATCAATATCTGCAGAAAGCTCGTGAAATCAGAAATCAAAAACAAACAACATACGTCTTCCTAAGAGAATTTTCTTAAACACGTTTCTAACCGTTCTCTGATTAACACTTTTCAAGACAAACTGTGGCAAGATTCGAATGATATCACTCTGGAAAAAAACAGGTCAGGAGTGCTGAAAAAGGAGATCTCACCTTCTCCAAACCATTGAGCACAGGAATCATTGTACGTACATCCGCATTTCTTTCCTCTTGAAGAGCCTTCAATCGTACAACCAGGTCTTTTGTGACGGTATCTGAAAATATTAATAGAAAAAACATTAGACGTTAAGTTAAAACCTCTCTCAGTGAGAAGATTCACCACTTTGGCGACCAACGGCTCAGCTCCATGAGGACACTCTTCCACGAACTTCAGTATTTCTTGATTGTGTATACCAATAGAACGCACAGCAGAATCAATTGAGTTTTGAACAACCTAAGATATATATTAAAAACATTTCAATGCTTAGGAGCACACCATCTTGAAATCTTTACTAGACTCAGCATAGATCCGAGCAAGGGGAAGTAGAAGTGAAGCATCGGTTGAGAGAACAGCAATGTACAAGTGCAAAGCACTTCGGTATGTAGATTCATCCCAGACGGAAAGCTGCAATAGATAAGGTAATTGATATTACAACAGCACATACAGTTTCATCTTGACTAAGGAAATCTGGAGGATTCGGTAGCTTGAGGAGTTCTAACTGATCCACAAGATGGTTTCTGATGTCTGTCTTCAAATAAGGCAATTCACAGAACTCCCTGACCATATCAATACAAGAGTGTCTCAACTGAAAAACATGATAGATGAAGATGAATAACATGAGTGATTTACATGAGCAGGTTTTTCATAAAATGAAAGTTCAAAAAGAACATCCAGCATTTCATGACGTTGTCTTCCTCTGGTCAAAATAAGCTCACGAAGTGTTGTCATACTGAATGCCCCAAAGGTCTGGAACGCAGAGATATTAGAGTTCATCGGGGAGGGAAAAGCGAACTTCGTCCAGACAGGCTCTTTTCAAAAAGTTGATTGCGGCAGGTGTAACTAAGGGTACTTCCAGTAGAATTTTATGGAAGATACTAAAAGAGGAACACTTGAATGAGTAGGAAGCGCTATATATCTTACGCTTCACGATGGAGCTTGTTAGTAACAAACTCATTCAGAAGACCAACCATGATTCGATTGTATCTTTCTAAGCGAACTTGTGGTGTTGAACTTCCATCATCAGTTTTAAAATTAAAACAATAAGAAAAACTATAAACGTCAGTTAAGGAGGCTGAATGGGATTGAATATCTCTTACCCCTGGTATTGAGCATAAAGTTCGGCTAGCCAAAGAAGAGCTAAGTCTGTTCGAATTTTATGTTCTTGTACAATAAAATCAATCATCAACTTTTCAAAAACATCATCATTAATTTGATATCGAGATGCTAATCTAACTAAAATAGAGTTGTGAAGACTCGCAGTTCCACCTTGAACAGCACGCCCTGAAAATTCTTAATGAGGAAACTCTTTTGCAACTTTCTTTTACGTTCAGCATTCATCACTCGAGAAAATGCCATTTTGAAAAGTTCCATCGTCTCTTCTTTAGTGAGCTTCTGAGCTACCGTCGTTTGAATCAGATCGAATTGTAACTTAGTCTTCTGAGCAACCTTAAACTGCAAACTCAGAGACAACAAATCAAACAAAGAGAACCATAGGCTTAGATTCCTTCAATGTTCCTATTTTCATTTGGGAAACAGAGGCAAGAATGGACTCCTCCTTAATAGCTGGTTTTTCTGAGAGAACAACTGTTTGCTACATAACTTTTTAACTCTCAAACCATTTTTCGATATTTTCTCGTTATCTATTTGTTGAACACCTGGACCAACACCAGCTTCTGTCGCTTGATGAGCTAATAGTAATGCTATCTGTCTTCTTTGAGCCTGACATACAAGAATGAAGTATCTAACTACAACTACTGTCAAACCTCAGATCCAGCTACAGAGGCAGGGGTATAATTCGCAAGAAAATGCTGAGGAATCCTGTCAGGAGTTTTAGGTAATGATGTCAAAACCATGTTCAATGCTGACTTAGAGTCGAGTTTCGAAAAAATGAAATCGGCTGTTATATCAACAGCTCTTCTACTACAATAGTAATTTTGAAAACTTCTTCTTAGAATAACATACCGTTGTTCCTCAGCTTCGGTTTTCTGTCTGACTGTTTGGACACCATACTCATCATCTTCTACAAAAATTGAAATAACCCTCAGTAATACAAGGACAAGTACCTTCATCGCCCTTATACTTCTTCGTCGAAGGTTCAGAACTATCACCCGTTCTCTTGCCCTTCCTCTTCAATTCAGCAATGTTAGCAGGAATAGCTCTGTTAATTTCCTGAAAAAAATAACGAATAGGAGAGCTTGGATCAGGAAACGCACGCTTTGAGAAGCACCTAAATCAGAAAGCAACACAGTAAGTCGAGGGTGGAACGGCACTGAGGAAGGCAGTCTCAAAATCCTCAAAATATGCAACTTCAGTTCCTTTCTGACTGATTTGACCTTAACACGGATATATTGAAATCATGTACTGCTGAGGAAATTCGCCATACCTGACTAGTTCCTAACGTTGGTGGTAAATTAGCATGCAAGCCTTCCAAAGCTTCAATAACCTTTCCCATGTAATCAGGTCTTTGTCGTGCAATGGTACACAGTACATTGACACAAGAAACGAGATTCTGAAGTATAAGAGTTTGGAAATCACAAAGTAACGGTGAAAACCTGAGCGGATATGTGAGAAAGAGCAGTTTGATCAATTAGAGATTTTAAATTATTATTTGCGTCCGCTTGTACTTTCCTGCAGGAGATGAACCTATGATCCTTAGGGATATCACTCAGAGATATGATGTCACCCCTTCCGCTCTCGCTTTCCTGTAAAGTAAAATGAGGAAATGAGTTGTTTAGAATTTCAAACAGTAGTTTTCACAGACTGAGCCAGTACTATTTGTTCCATAAACTTGATGATGATGGTTCGGACTCTAAACACACATAGAGTCGAAGAAGAAGGGTCGAGACTAACCCTTCATTATCGTTTTCTATGAATTGTAAAATTCTTCCCTTGAGAAAGGAAAAAGCCTCCCAAGCCCCCGCAGCATCACTATCTAAACCTTTTCCAACAGCCCATTTCAAAATATATGGATAAATGTTAGCAACAACCGTTATCACCTGAAGAGAATGTTTAAATGAAAAAGGAAATGCCAGCTTACCCGCTTAGTAACTTTCACATTACTCGTATTTTCAGTGCTCAACAAGTCAGATAGAACAGGAACTGTCTTTTTCACAGTTTCCGGCTCCTTTTTACTGAATTAATAGAAAGAGAAATGAATCAAAGGCTTTCAAATTCTCACCACGCTCGTTCAATGAAATCTATCACATACAGAATCAGGGTTAATTCACACTTTGTAAATGCAAGCATTTCATCCAAAAAGTTATCGAGAAGATCATGATTACCATTAAGAAGAAGTTTCTCTGCCTAGATAAGTTAATAAGAAAAGCTCATGGAATCGTTTCACTAACTGTTTCAAGATGTTTCACAGCTTCTGACGGGACAGATAATGAGCTTTGTGCATTAGAAATAGCTTGGGCTATACTCGTTGACACACTATCTGAGCTTTCCATTAATACTACTTCTTCCTCCATAGCTTCTTTTCACTTTTGAAACAATCAGAGCATCGAATATATAAGTTGAAGCACAATTAAGTCTATTCGAAGGAATTAAAGCCTGGATTCAAATCAGCTACGCAGAGTTACGTCGCGATATGAGTATTGCGTACTCAGCCAAGACTTCACGCCATCAAGTGATAAATTAGAATTCCAAGGGCTTTCCACATAGAGCTTTCTTACATTCCACTAATTATTTTTTGAGAAAAATGACGTCAGTTCTGTCGTCTTTTTTCTCCCGTGATCCTAAAGCTGGATTCGCATACGAACTTCCATCCCAGAATGAAGATTTCATCCAAATAAATGGGATCAAGCTCGCCAAGAGCTTTCGTAAAGTTAGGAACCTTTCTTTGAACGTTGTAATATACAAGAAATCTTAGAGTGAGCCTGAAGTATTAGCAACAGTTCTATGGACTTCCACGGATTTAGCGGAGCTCAGAGCTCAAGCTCAGAAGTTGAAAACAATGAGGCATCCGAACATTATTGCTTTCCAAGATAGTATTGAGGTTACTAGAACTTTCAAATCGTATCTCTATTTGATTTTCAGATAGAAAACACATTTTATTTAATAACTGAACGTTGTATTCCTTTATCCCATTATTTCCGCACAAGAGGAGTTATTGGTGATCAGAAAGAGTTTTTTGTCTCCTGGGGTCTCTTCCAAGTTATGGTATGTCCAGTAATGAAAATGAACCACGGTCTCCTGTTTTCAGAACTGTCTGAAATTCTTACATGAAGCTAATCTAAGTCATGAGAACATTCGTGAAGGAGTCTATGTTACTGAAGGTGGAGATTGGAAACTATCTTGTTTGAACAAGATCGTCCCTTTCCAGTATGCGAAAATGCCTTATTAGCTGTTGATCATTAAATTCTTTTCAGAAATGCTCAAAATGACTTGAATCAATTAGGAATGGTACTTTGGGAGATTTTCAACGGCTTCAACGCTGGAGTGAGTAAGGCTCAAGCTCCGGGAAAAATTCCCAAAAGGTGGATATTCCATATCAAACTGTTCTATAATGAAGTTTCAGACTCGTGGAGTTGTACAAGAAGATTGTTGCTCCGTCCGCTTCTCGCTTGTCTGCCTCAGAACTGATTAGAGGTTGCTATACCTTCTGTTTTCCATTCAAAGCCAAACTTACAGAACAACGCATGACTGGTGGATATTTCAAAAATAAGTTCGTTGACACTCTGCTTTTCTTAGAAGAGTTTCAACTGAAAGAATCGAGTGAAAAGCAGACGTTCTTCATGCATTTGAGGTGACTTCGACGTTTGTTCAATGTTATCACAGTGTTACAGAGAAAACTTGGATATCTTCCCTGATGATATAGCTAAGTATAAGATATTGCCAAAATTGATAATGGTTCCGTTCAAACTTTTCATGTGTTTATTAATTTTTCTGTTTAGACTTATGAATATGGTGATGCTGGTCCCAACATCCTCATTCCACTATTCAAACTAGGACGCTTGCTCGACGAGGATGAGTATCAAAAGAGAATTGTCCCTTGTCTTGTGAAGGTTGCGCGTACTCGATATTTCAATCATAATATCCAACTTTAGCTATTTCACAGCTCTGACCGAACTACTCGCGTGAAGTTGCTTGAGAGAATCGACGAGTTCAGTGCTCATCTAACTCCCGCTGTTGTCAACGATAAAATATTCAGGTACTCAGCAACATAATTCTGCCATTGATTTGGTTCAGTAATTTGATCACCGGGTTCCTTGATACTTCTCCAGCCGTCAGAGAGAGTACGGTAAAAGCAATGGTACCTTTGGCTGAAAAATTGAACTTCCACAATCTCAATGTCGAGTTGATGAAATATCTCGCAAAGTTACAAGGTAAGCGAAATTTGTTGATTTTAACTATCTATTGATTATAATCGATTCGCAATCAATCAAATTAGAGTTTTTTCTAAAAATGTCTTCTATTTCTTAAATGAAAAAGAGATTGCCCCGAACCAGGATCGAACTGGTGACCTTTAGATCTTCAGTCTAACGCTCTCCCAACTGAGCTATCGAGGCATTAGTTACGAAGCGAGGCTATCTGCATACGTTGTCTATACGAAAACATTTCTAGGCGGTGACGAGCATGGTGGAATAAGAACGAATACTACAATTTGTCTGGGAAAAATCGGTTCTTTATTAGATCCAGCTAAACGACAACAAATTTTGCTCAGTGCTTTCACTAGAGGAATGAAGGTATACATCCTTGTACGAGTGAAACTGAAAATTTTTCATGTAGGATCCTTTCCCTCCAGCCCGGCTAGCAGCTCTGCTTGCTTTGTCAGCTACCCAACAGTTTTATTCGATAGGAGAGATTGCTAATCGTATTCTCCCTTCTCTTTCTCCTCTATGTTGTGATCCTGAGCAGCAAGTAGGATAAATTGAAAGTGTTCTTGTTATAGTTTCCTAGGTTCGCGAACAAGCATTCAAAGCCATCAAAGGTTTCTTGAGCACTCTCGAGCGTATCAGTGAAAACCCAGAACTAGCTACGGAACATGAAGCACAAGTACGAGCGGGAGGAAAATCTTTATTGAGTAGTGATAAGGTGAAAAAAATCCATAATGGTTTAATTGTTGTTCTCAGGTTCCTCAGTGGGCTAGTTGGGCTCTTAAATCCATTTCTGGCAAATTCTATAAAGGACCTACTTCTCCCGAATCTGCAGTAGCTGGAGAAAAGAAAGAAGAAGATGAAAGATCGCCTTCCAGAGCTTCAGAGAGAAGTGTCAACTCTGTGACACCTAGCAAATTTAATAAGCCAGTACCAGCATCAACAACTGATGCTGATGGCTGGGGTGATTTGGACGACGATGGTTAGTAGAAGTTCCCAGTCGTCATGATTTATAATCTTTATATTAGACAATTGGGCTGATGCTGATGATCATAAGGAAGCAGAGATGAATGCCGCTGAGAATGATGAAGAGGATGATTGGTCTTCAGGCTGGGAAACATCGAAACCAGACCCTCTCCCAACTCCGACTCCGACTCCTGCGTCCGTTCCAGCTGTTAAGAAAAGTTTGAGAAATCCTAATCCTGTCAAAAAGTTATCTGCCACAAAAGTGCCTGTCGATAAAGGTACGTTATGGTCTTAAACTGAGGTTAATGATCATTCTCCAGTTTCTGATATGTTTGCGGATACCTCCATTACACCAACACCGAACTCTGGTAAGTTTAGCTAAGCGGATGATAAGTATGGATCGTTCTTCAGATTGGAATCAGGATACTTCCACTAATGACTGGGAGAATGATGGCTGGGGTAGTGATGATTGGGGCCAAGCTCCTTCTACTAAACCAGCAAAAACACTTTCTCTCAAACCGAACAGAGGTTGGTTCTTGAATCATGAGATTGAATGAAATGCAATTGTTTTAGACAAGCATAAATAACTGATTCACAGTCTACTGTAACAAAAGTGATTAACCGAAAGTGATATTTATATTATAATTAAAAAAATTATGTGATTTTCTGATAACATGAGTCTGAATTGTATTTTCGATAAGTCAAGCTGGTCTCTTTAACTCCTTTTCTCTTTAATGAATACGTCCAACCATCCTCTTCTTATTTCAGCCAACGTGTAAACGGCAAAGAAGGATTATGACATAATCCTGATTAGAACGTTTCTGATGCACATTATCTTCTTGATTTTTACCGTTTGTTCAGCTCGGGATATACTGTCGCTCAGAATGGTTGCATTCGAAAGATTCAAAATCTGAAACCTACTGGCAAACGAATATCATGTATACCAAAACGATGTATGTCGCAAAGCAACCGATTGTTACTTCGTTTATTGTTTTCACACGATTATACCGATAGGATGTAGCTGTACGCTTCAACACTCGAATGTTGCAAACAAATACAAATAATTATTTTCGTTTACACATGAACGACCAAATCATTCTTGACAGCTCCCCCCTCGCCCCACTAACAAGTAGACTGATTTGATGTACCCCAGATGTCTCTCTATGTGATAATCATGTACTGTTTATCCCTTTTTGGGTTCTTTATCATCTTCTTCTCGTTCTCCCTTCTCATCTTTGTTCCAACCAAGCTGAACAACTTCACCCGCTTTGTGATTCATGGACATGACTTGACGTGAGTTCTCAACTTCAATCTCTCACCATTGTCTTTCAAGATCTGCCATAACTCAGCTTTATCTTACTTTGGGGTCTACACCGACTCTTCTTTTCCCATGTAAATCTGGATACGTGAGTGGGTTCCTCTCCAACTTTGGAATTGAACCTTTGGATCAAACTAATTTTCAAGTGATATTGATGACTAGTACTCACCTGAGGAGAGTAGAAATGACGTTCATTCATTTCAGTCAGTAAATCCTTCACTCTCCTTCTTACTATCAATCGAACGTTCGCAATCAATACATGGATGAAGAAACATAAAAACCTTATCATAATCATATTCTTCGCTCAGCTGATTGGCCAAGTCGTTATTTCGTTCGTTAACAGCTTGAACACGAAAGAAGGTGGAGAAGAAGCTCGGCAGGCTTGTCTCAAGGTGTAGACCTCTTCTGTTCGTTGAAACAGTTTTTTCAGATAATTACATATGAATATCCCAAAGTGATGTATACTTTCCGAGGATTTGATGTAGCAGCCCAAGATGAGAACGGCCTGTTCACCGCTATATACACGGCACTGACTTCTGCGTTTTACATGATTATTGCAATTGTCTGTGTTTCTATCCTCATTCAGAGCATCAGAGAGCAGGCGAAGTCATCACAGTCCACTCAGTTCTTAGCCAACCAACGTAGAATCACTTCTGGGATTCTTTCCTTCGTAAGCTACTTCACTCCCACTGAGTCCAATGTTCTTCAGATGGTTGTTGAGATAGTTGGATTGGGCATTCCATTTATAATTATCAGTGCATGTCTTATTCTCAGTGTGGGAAATACGGGTACGGCCTCTCTTTGACACTAAAATTGAAGTTGAAATATCTCAGTCGTCTCTCAATTAGCCTTCATGACCATGTGCATCTATCCTATATTCGGTCCATACTATGTTCTCATGTCTAACACAGATTACAGGAACAAAGTGAAAGGGATTCTTATGAAAGGTTGGTTCTTGAAGCTCATTCTGTTTGCCCGTGATACGACGTTTTTGAGCTTGTGAAACGGGAACTCGTACGTTGAGTGTTATAAGCAGCTGATTTTCAAGAAAGACATGTTGTTCTTTGATTTAGTTCTCGGTCTTGGTTCTATCTAGTTCTCATAGAATCGTCTGTGATTTCTGCATGTCTAATCTTGGTTACTTTGTATATTGTTTCTAACTATTGTACCGGTAGAATGTAGCAGAACGCTTCAACACTGAATTGACGAAAACGAGCTCTGTTCGAAGTCTGTTTGTGAGATGCAAGGTGTGGAAATGTGGAAGACAACCATATCATCTGATTCACAGAATACACTTCTGAAGAATGTTGACATTGTCTTCTCGATGTTGTGTTCTCCTCTGATCACGCAGATGTCCTGCAAGTTCGTTCTGTTCCAGCCGTATAGTCTTCAATCTTCCGGAAGACACACAGTTTCTGGTACTGATAACAAGGTTATCTTGTCCGAGAAGTTCTTTTGTCCTCATCGTTCTGTAAACGAACCAGCACTTTCGACCAATATTTTGAATTTCC